CCTCCCTGGCCCCGGCCCCCCTCACTCTCCTCTCTTATCAAAGCGCCGTCAACACTACAGCGGCTTGCGGTCCAATTGTGATAATGGCCAACCAATAGTCGGCCCTTAATCGAGGGCGATTTGGTTTCTCGCCCTTCTGAGGAGCCCTTTTCGCACTGACGTCACTGCGCATGATAGCGAAATTGGCGGCCCTTTCGCATGATCGGTGCGCGAGGGAATCAATGACTGTCGATCTGCGACATTGGCGTTCCCCGAGCCGCGCGCCCATGTGTACAATGTCCCGGGCGCGGCAGATTCTTTTCGCCGCGCAAACACAAAACGCACAAAGTGTCCGGCGGACGTGCTCGACTGTACGCCAGAGTCCTAAACAAAGCCCTCCCGCACCACTTCCGAGAATAAACTCCTCTAAATATCGCGCTCGTCGCCTTGAGCCCGATCAACCCCTTTCATTTTCGCAATTTTCTCTCGCAGTTGCAGAAATGCCAACAAGAACGTAAAACAGAACCGAAAGAAGGCGTGCAATCGTTCAAGTACACGGCACTCTCTGTGAATGATGGGTAACCTGGCGACCGCTGTTGACAGGTGCGCCTCATTGACAGTCTGATGACATCACGTTGACAGGTTGACAGCACCCGCGCGACCCGGAGGTGGGGGAGGGGGGGTAGGAGGGGAGGCAGGGCAATCGCGGGGGACAGGTGCGCCTCATTGACAGTCTGATGACATCACGTTGACAGGTTGACAGCACCCGCCCGACCCGGAGGTGGGGGAGGGGGGGTAGGAGGGGAGGGGTCATGCGCCACATTTATAACATTGCCTGCGGCGACCGAGGGGGAAAGAGAGGGGGGTGAGGGGGCACAGGAAAAAAGAAATTGGATCTAAATGTCTGGCGGGACGGCGGCCGGGGCAGCAGAGCAGCAGCGATCCGCTGGAATATTTCAGGCTGCGATAAGGCGTCACGCGACGCGTCTGTGGGCCATCAATAACGGAGAGCATCGCGACGCTATCAGGGAGAGAGAGAGGGAGAGGGAGAGGGGAGTAGCCGCGGCCATCGGCAAATCTGAAGGGGGCGCGAGACAGGGAGTGAGGCACGAGGGGGGGGGGGCTCTCTCACACACACTCGCACACTCACACACACACTGACACGGCACGGGCGACGTCGTTTACAGCTGATTGGATAGCGCGAGAGCGAAGAAGAGGAAGAAAAATGATCCGGCGATCCGAACAGATCGTAGTGTTGGTTTGTCTTGGTTTGTCTCAGTGTGTTTGACACCTTTGGGTTGCGCTCGGCACGGCACGGCACGTCGTGTTTAG